CAACCTAGAATCGTATGTGGATGACTCAAAACTATTCATGTCATTTCCTCTCGTTGAGCTTGTTGCTGCCATTGAAAAGCTCGAACAAGACCTTCACAGTGTAGCTCAATGGTGCTGTGAGAACCATCTACTTATCAATCCCGATAAAACTAAACTCCTTTTCCTCGGTACCAGACAGATGTTAAGCAGGTTACTAGAAGACCCTGGAGTGGTATTCTTAGGTAAAACACTGAAGCCAACAGACTCTGCCAAGGACTTGGGAGTCTTTCTTGATCCCCATCTGACCTACGATCACCATATTTCATGCGTAGTGTCATCTTGTTTCGCAAAGCTTTGCCAAATAAATAGAGTCAAAAGGAGCTTTGACAAGGAAACACTAGAATTGTTAATAACATCATTAGTCTTTAGCACGATGCTTTACTGCTCATCTGTATGGTCTAATACTACACTCCAGAATATAAACAGATTACAATCTATTCAGAATTTTGCCAGCAAGATCGTAACAAACTCTATGAAGTTTGACCAAGTAACACCTTTGCTTCGAGAGCTAAACTGGCTTCCTGTTAAAGAACAATTATTCTATAGAGACTCCGTTTTGACCTTTAAATGTCAGAACGATCTTGCGCCTCAATACTTAACGAGCAAGTTTACCAAGCGCTCAAATATACATACTCGTAACACTCGTATACGGAACTCTTTGCAGATTCCGCTATACAAAACGGCTATAGGCCAGCGCACATTTTCCTACAGAGGGGCCTACATATGGAATAACTTGCATAATGAACTTAGGCAAAGTGCCTCATTGGCATCTTTCAAGCGCGCCCTGAAAGACACACTATTGAGGCAGACATTTCCTTCATAAGCGTTAGATTTTAATAGAATACCATCATAAATTGTGATTTCGAGTTTTTATTGTCATTTTTGCTTTTATAAATTGGAAATAGTTTGTAAATAGTTCCTGAAAAACCTCACGAGGATGTTACTATTAAAGTTATTATTATTATTATTATTAATCTTGGAAGGAATCTTGGTAGGTATAATCACCGGAATCTCGGTAAGATTTATTCCGGGAATCTTTAAAAAAATAGCTAAAGGAATCTTGGTAAAAATCTTGTTAAGATTTACGATGGAAATTCTTACCAAGATTCTTGCCAACATTCCGTTACTAAAGGTTATCAAGATTCTTGCCAAGTCTTCCCTAGCAACTCTTACCAACATTTTTGAGTAGTAACCGGATGCACTTCTGCCAGTAGCCAATCAGCGACGAGTATTTAGGTCACGTGGTACAAATGGACCAATCAGAGAGCAGGAGAGACGCGTCATATCAAATCGCATGGTACAAATTACCCATGATGCACCTTGATTATCTGTCAATCAAACTACGTCACCATGGTGACGTCATGAGAGGGGTGGTTGCTAAGGAATAATTACGTGACACATTGTATGTTCAACTTTCTACTTTATTGAATTAATTATACAACTCATGTTTTTTAAACTACGGTATACTGAATGTCAATGTCACTTTGCAAGGTGGTTGGCGGATTGAGATTACGATCTATATACATTTCTGTATCGGTAATAGTGCGCCCATTTACAATCAATCCCGGATTCTGTTCTTGTAGACAACGGACATGACTGTTGAAGATGTCCCTCGCTGACAGTCCTGGTCCACGGGTAGTTTCCAGTTCTTGCTTGATACTGATCATTCGGTCATACCATTCCATTACACGTGTATAGGTAAGGTTTTTCGAGGCTGGAAAGGCATCGTAAATGGACCTTAGTTCCTCTAGATAACGAGCACTTACTGGCCAATGACTATCGTCGAGTGCTTCACACTTGTGCTTGTCGATCCACTTTGTCAGGTCTTGGACGATTTTTAGCAAATTCTCTCGCTCTTGTTCGCTGTAGGATTGGTTTTCCTTGTTGTCAGCTAGGAACGAACAATGCCAGATGAATTTTTCAACTGTTTTCCTTTTCTTGTACTTGACTCGATAGTATTGCTGTAAGGTCAGCATATCGGTCATCCACTGCGGTGTGTTATCTTCATCGAGTACCATTTTTATGGCATCCAACAGTGAACCGTTGTATGGAACAGCAGGCTCCTCCAAATCATCGTTGAAGTTGGTTAAGTTTAGCATGGGTTGCGGCGGTTGATCACTGTAGGCAGCCATGTTGGAAAAACTGAAGAGAAATGGGGTTGTGCAATGGGTTATAAGGAAGGTGTGAACCAATCATGTGGAAGGAAAGGGGTCATGTGATAAGGGTGAGCCAATGGGAGAGAAGTTATTTTTTTTGCATGAAAAGAGGGGGTATCCCCCCCCATACCCCCTTTTTTTGACCCCTTTTTTGGGAGCACGTGGTCAGGCGAGGTTACCTATTGAATCAGAGAGTATAAGAGCAGAGAGGGTTGGAGTGTTTCATTTGCGTTTTTTCCAAGATGGTGACCAGAGCTTTACCAATCAAGTTTGGCAGGGATGATGGTTCGAATAAGGAAACCGGATGTTTTATTTGTTTAAAGGAAGAACAAGATTTGCCTGTGACATCATGCTGTGGGAAGATGGTTCACGAGGGATGTTTGATCGAGTGGTTGGATGTTTGCAAGGAGCCAAGTTGTCCACATTGCAGAACCGAGATGGTTACGGTGAGTAAAAAAAAACAGAGCGAGGTTTTGATCCTCGGACCTTTGGCTTATGAGGCCAATGTGCTAACCACTACACTACTCTGTTTGTAGATACATGTTGTGCAGAATCGTGCAATATATGATAGGCTGAATGGTGATCTGGGGTCAGAGACCACTCGTAAAGTGTATCAAGATAGGAAGGATCGTTTTTATTTGGATTTTGCGGTCTTGACATGCGATTGTGCTGCTGAAGTGAGAGGAGTGGTGCGGATGGAGTTTTTTTGTGGACTGACTACATTTATAGAAAGTATTAAGGCAATCAGAGGTGTAAAAATGAAAGTAATTTAATAACATGATGTGAAATAAAGTGAATGTTTTTTTACAAGTTTAACTGAAGTTTGGCTTGCATGATTAATTTAACAATACGTTCTGTCCATGTTTTTTTTCCTGGGAGATTACTGATGGCTCTGATCATGGTTTGATCAGCTTTCCATTTATCTTGTAAGGATTTGGCTTTGGTATAAGCAATGTCGTGTCGTTTGGCTATTTTATCCAATCGGTTGATGCCGGGATCACCACGTTGGAGTCTTGTTTTGAGTTTGGTTCCAGGACCCATGTAATGATAACCGGGCCAATGAAACTCCACCCCAATGTTGAGTAAGAGTCGATGAAGATCAAACTTCCATGGAACAGCTCTTGGTCTTAAGATGATTGTTTTCTTTGTTTTTGCCATCGTTGTGTACGGGTATCGTAAGGCAACCAATCGGAGATGAGTTTTTCTGCTTCTGTTTGTCTTCTTTTTGTTTTTTTGGTGGTGGTTGTCTTTTTTCTTGTCTGGGGTTGTCCTCTCATGAGATTGAGAAGTAATTTTTGAAAGGCTTTGGTTTGTTCATCTTGCCGGATAATGGAGTCAGTGCTACCCTCTGGTGTGATGGTGGAGGTAAAGGGACCTTGTTTATATTTTCGTAAAGTTTTGTTGAAGGTGGAGTTCAATGCCTTGACTTTGGCTTTTTTAATGGCAGGAGGAATATTTTTGTTGGTGAGGACTTTGTGTCTTGTAGCTGCAAGTTGAGTGGCTGTGGTGAGAGTGGGATCACTGGTGATGCGTTCTTTGTAGAGATTGGTTAATTTACCCAGTTTCTCTGGGGGAATCATGAGTACTTGATTCATGGTCTTGAGCTGAGATGATGCGTCGTATTTGTTCTTGATAGTAACGTTTGGTAAAGTCGAGTTGTCGTTGTAGTTGTTCCAAATCTTTGTTTTGTTGTTGGATGATGGTCACGAGGTTAGTAGTGCAGCTTTTATACTCTTTGCATTTTGTACATCGTTTGGATTTTACCGGGAGACACATCGACATACCTCTTGTAATCCTTTCCATAATTGTCCACCGCCGCGTTGTTTCATTAACAGTTGTTTGCGTTTTTTAAGTGAGACACCTTTCTTGGCGATGGATCTTAAGAGGTTTTTGTGCGGTTTCAATCGACCAATGGTTTTTTTCGACACGGGAATGTTTTTTTTTAACAAATTTAAGGTGATTTCGCTCAAGGCATTCAGTTGATCTTTGCCTGCATGACGGATTTTGTCCATGCGTTTGAATCGATTGCCTTCTTTGAGGATATTTTGAATGAAGGGGACGTGTGGTTTGACTCTATTCATCCTACTCGTTTACGTCCAGTGGTGACTTGTGGTATGGCTGCTTTCGGTGTGAGTTTTTTGGAGCGTTTTCCATTTGATTTACCGTTTCCTCCTGTACCTCCATATATAGCAGATCCGATACCTGCTGTTGCAACACCGGTAGCAGCGGCGGCTCCAGCAGCAGTTCCGGCTGCTCTTCCAGCGGATTTTAATCCTTTTCGAACTGTTTTTCTCATGGTTTTTTTAGCGACTGTTTTTGCAACTTTTTTACTGAAATTTTTTCCTGACACTTTGGCTCCTCGTTTAGCTGCTTGTTTGGCTGCTGCTTTGGCTGCTTTTGTAATGGTTTTTTTCCCGACGGTTTTTATGACGCGTTTGGTAACACCTTTGGTAATGGGTTTAAGACTTTTTCCTACTGTTTTGGAGACAAGACGTCCCCATCCACCTCCATGTTGTCGTAAATAATTTTGATATTGTTTGGCGTTTTTGAAGTACAACCATGGTTCTTTGATTTTTCGATCAAATTTTGGTGCCCGATAAGTCCCAGTGGCACCTTTGGCTCCTCGACGTTTATAGTCTGGATTATGTCCCATGGACATGCCGAGTTCGGCTGCCATGGGTATGATGGTTTCTAACCCTATTCCTCCGTATTGTTTTCGTCTTGGCATGGTGGGTGTTTTGAGGTGGATGTATCATCTGTTTTCTCTTTATATGTTTTTTGTCCATCCAGTTGATCGTTAGGGTATTTATAGTTGCATAGGATATGATCTGGAATAGGAGGAGCAAAATCAATAATAACTTCTTCTAAAATTTGTTGTTTGAGTAGAAATTCATCCGTTGCAGACAATTGTAGAGCACGTAATTCCGTGAGTGCTTTGGCATGAGTGGAATAAGCAAATTTACTCATGTCCATTTTGATGGAGTATCGTTTAAAATCATTCCATCCTTTGATGAACATTCCAACAGCAGCTAAGATGGAAGTGAGTAAGACATTTTGTAAAACAGGTCCAATGATGAGTCCCAATGAGGTAGCGAGTAGAGAGAGAATATTGAGAATGGTATAGATGCGTTTAAATCGAAAAAACATTTGTCGATGACACCACCATTGACGATGATGAAACGTGTAGACTTGATTCATGGTGTAACTCTTGTGGACGTTCTTGACACGGTGGGTCTGTTTCTACGATTATTGCCCACGCGTGTCCTTGTATTGGTAACGGTGGGACGTCGCCTATTTTGTTTGTAAGTGGTAGTGACTGTGTTGGTGGTAACAATGTTACTAATTTCTCGATTATCTTGAGCAATGTCATCTAATAATAAACGGAGTTGTTGTTGCATACGACCTCGAGCAGGGGCAGTGGTATTAGTAGCAGTGGGTTGTCTATTGCGTCTTCTTCTCGCTGCACCTGACCTAGTGGCAGTGGTGGTTGTGGCCGTAGCAGTGGGTGCTCGCCTTCTTGCCCGTGAGGGTCTTCTGGCTCTGGATCGAGAGGTAGTAGTGGTAGTTGGTCTCCTCGGTGGCGGTGGGGGTTGTCTTGTTGTGGTGCCTGGTCCAGTGCTGATGGGAGGTGTTGTATCGATATCGGCTTCATTCAAGGCTTGTTGAACAAGATCATCAGGGGGTTCGGTGGATGTTTGTCTACTGCTTGTACCTATCCCAGTGGTGATGGGTGGAGCCACTTGTCGCGGGGGTGGATCACCAATGCGTGGAGTGTCTGATTCTACTGGGGGTATATTGGCCACATCTTCAAATAAACCTCCAAAATCATTAGGATTGAAGCCAAGATCTTGCACTTCTTCAGCTGCTGTGAGATTTTGTACATATTGAGTAGCAGGATCGGGGGATCTCATGGGTCCTTCTGGACTTGAGTCCATCCTTTAGTCCACAAGTGTTCAATTAAGTCACTGAAATGAGTTTCGTTGTAGTGCTGGACGACCGTTTGAATTTGTCGTTTTTGTCTGTTTCGAACATGATTATATACTGCTTGGAAAGGAATGTAGTCCATATCATCAGGTGACATCCCATGTAGATAATTATGAAATATTTGTTCTACATGTTGCCATTGTTGCTTTCTATGTTGGATGGCCTGTTTGATTTCTTGGACATCGGATGGGAAGAGAATATTGTGAAAACAATCGTGTTCGAGTTTCATCATAAATGATTCATGGAAGTCATCTAAATCATCCACGGATAAGATCATTTGTTCCAGTAGTCTCTCCTTCAGTCTGTATCTTGCTTCGTTTTTGTTTATGTTCCGATAAACCCTTACGTCTTTTTCGTCCCGCGACATGATGGGGGTTAAACTGCCAACAATTGGTGATTCCTTGATCTTTTAAGACATTGGTAAGGACGCGTTGCGTATCGGGACTGGTGGGATGAAAATCCAATAAGAGATAAGCATGGGGTTGTTCTGTGACTTTTTGAAACGTGTCCAATACAGTGGACCAATTGGTCGGAAAGGCTTGCATCAATAAATTTCGAATGCCCACTTGATCCCTTGGGTTTTTGAAAGCCCAGACATAATGGACATTTCTGGAGATGGTTTTGGAGTACTTTCCAATGGGGAAAATATCCTGTAGAAGATAAATGACGCTAACATTTTTGTGATGAGAATATTTGGTGAAAATATCCAAGATATTTTTATCGTTTCCGCATTCATCCATGAGATCGTCCAAGATTAGAATACCCCCTTTAGGGAACCAAGATGAAATGTGTTGTTCTTGGGGTACACCTTGATGAAAACGTATGCCATGTTTTTTCATACGATCGTAGGCAGGTTGCCATGCTCCATAACAATAATGAATAGCATGGGGTTTGTCCTTGAAGAGATCTAGATTGTGGCATAAGAGATTTTCGATTAAGTTGGTTTTTCCACATCCAGATGGTCCCACTACCATGTGTCCTGCAGGGGTATAGAGTTGATATTTTTTGGGTAGAACAAACATGATGTAAAAAAAGAATACAGACAGGAAAAGGTTTAACAAGTCCTTTTATTGACAAGAAGTACACGTTTGTGACATGGGACGATGAGTTGCTTCGCGCCATGTTTTTGGATTAGTGATTAGTTTGGCTAACATTTCACCCACTTCATGATCATTGGCAACATAATCTTTGTCTGAAAAGTAAGTTAAAAAATCTTGCATGGAATAACCTTTGGCTTTGGCTTTTAAATAAAATAAACAATAATGTCCACATGCTTTGCTTGTAAGGCTTTGTAAAGCTCGTCCGTTGGAAACAATGTATTTCCATTTTCTGGTCCATCTCTCGAGTGGTTTGGCTTGATAGTATTGCAATGGTAGACCATAACTGTCCATGATTTCGCAGATTCCTTGATCTGTCCAAAAGGCTATCCAATGGCGTCCAGGTTTATCGTGAGGATCGGTGTTGACGATGTAAGCAGATGTTCGTTTGGAAGGAGAATTGGGTAATTGATCCGAAGCGAAGACTCCTTGAAAATACGATTTGAGTACAGGATCTTGTTGAGCCAAATACGTTAATTGTTGATCACTGAGTGCTACTTCTTCCATGATTTTTTTTTACTGGTAGATGTTGTACTCTACGTCATTCATGCTATCAATGGTCACCAGATTTTCAAATTCGCCAAAGACCAGCACTGTACTGATAAAGGCAGGAGCTGAATGTGCTTCGAATTCAATCCGTACGTTACCCTTTTTATTGGGATTCATCATACCTGTGTCCGCATTACCACTGCCTACATTGTTCCACATGAACAAATTACAGTTTCTATCTTCACCCCAGTCTTCCTCTCTCAACATGTTTGGCTGACTCTTGATGAATGCTCCACTGGCTTGTAGGAATCGGTAATAGCCATCATAGTCATACCGATCATCTCGTGTGAGTTCCAGTGTTTCATAAGGGTATTCTTCTCCGTTAATGAGCTGTCTGATGTACTTGAGCTTGGCTTTGAGGAATGAGAAGGGGTAGTAATTTTTGGTTCCATTGAAGGATTTGTTATCCACAATGGCTACGATCACCCTCTGTGGGACCTTTCCGTTGAAGATATCTTCTTCTTCAAACCTTGTCTGCTTGTCTGAGTTCCAGATAAAGGTTCTCAATTCACTTCGTACCACTGGATACACTGCTTTTTGAGCATTGTTTTGTGTTTTTAGCATGAGATCATTGTAGATAGAGTCATTGAGCTTTAGTCGAGCTAGATGAAACCTCATGTCAACATCATCCTCGGTGAACCTTATCTTTTTTACATTATCATCAGCTACCATGGTCCAGAATTTAGGATCATGAAAATGGAATTCAAACTGCATTTGCACTCCTGGTTTCAACACATAAGGAAACCAAAAAGGTTCCACATGGGGTCTGATCTTCAAACGAACTTCAAGTAACGAGCTGTTACTATCATTGTAGTACCTGCCGGATTCTGCCTTCAGTAACTTAAAAGCTGCTTTTTGATTGTCAGTCCAACCACTTGTTTTAATGTCCATGTTGCCTGAACCTGTTTTTTCCCATGCTTTGGGCAAATCCAAGGCATTGACCCAGCCTTGAGGACGTAGAATCGTTTTCCCATCTTCTCTGTCATAGTTCAAGATGGTTTCAAACATGGCCTTGTAAGGATATGTGTCTGTATGGGGGTTGATCAGAGTACCATTGAGTCGTACTCCAACTTGTTTGAGCATACTGTGAGGTAGGTTGTTGACCAAAAAGAGATCATCGGTTGTTTTGATAGGGGCACCATCGGACATGGCCAGTTTGAGTCGCACAGTAAAGTAACTCCTGGAGAGATCTACAAATTCTTGCATGGCTGGAAGATCAAACTGAATAGGGGTGATACTTTTGCCCACTGGGCTAAAGGTGGAAAATCGACAATCATTGATACTGATGTCTGTTCGTGGAACTTTGAAAATGTTCAAAACGGGGTTGACCCCCTCTTTGGAGTTAGAATGCGCTTTGTAGATGTCGGTGTTCATCGTGTTCTGCGTCGACGGCGTGTTGCAAGTCTTCTTTTATACCAGTCTGGTATATGGGGATAATTTTCCCCTTTGAGACCAGTGATGGTTCCACCCACGCGTCTGCGTCGAACCGAGATGACACCTCCTCCTCTTTGTCCATATCGTTTTAAGGCGCGTAGTATTTTAGGTCGATTGTATGGGGGGCTCCATTGTCTGACCATTATGCAAAAATATCGCGAATGATGCGTTTCTTTTTTTTGATGGGAAGACGATTAGTCAAGGAAGCTGCTTTTCGTTTTAAGTTTGCTGCTTTTCGTTTCAAGTTTGCTGGAAGTTGTTTCAGCTCAGCTGGAAGTGATTGAATCACGCGTACGGTATCGAGTCCTTTTATGGATAATCCACCCGTTTGATTAGCAGGGCGTCCACTTCCTGTGGAACGTTGACCTCGGTTTGGATCGTATCGCGTCAAACTTCCTCCTATCATAGTGTGTCCTTTTTTTTCTTGGTATGAAAGAGGGTTCTGCCTTTTTATTCTCTTTTGAAGTGTAAGACCAAGGTGGTCACTCCTTGTCCGAAATCCAAGAGGGTATTATCAGTTTCGGTGAGTTGTACTTCTAGGATCTCCATATCTGAACTGAGTACATCGTGATATTGGATCATATGGGGTTCAAAGTGAAAATGATCATTTTGACCTTGACGAGGATCATAATCGACTTCTCGCAACAAGGACACGACTTGATCCCCCACGATGGTGCTTGCCCCCACGTTGGAGTAGACGTAAAGTGTTCGTTTGTGACGTTTGGTGACTTTATCAAAAATGCGATTTAAATGGGTAAATCGCCATTGAGCTGTTCTACTCAGTTGAATAGACTTCGAAATCGAATTATACTTGAACAAGACATTGCCAGTTAATTCCGTTGTATCTTTTCTTGTATTGTTTCTTAAATCAGGAATGAGATGATGATTGAGAAATGGGGTAATATTTCCATCTTTATAACTAGTCCACATCATCAATTTGGCGAGACGATTATCAACGTGAATTTCTAGAGAACCTGATGACTCATTTCCATCTTGTCCCAGATGTAATTCGTAATCATCTCCTTCTTGTTTGAATTTAAATGGTGCCCAATCTTCAGGTTCCACTCTGTAACCAGCATCGAGTTCATTGTATCGTCGTTCTTGGAGGATATAAGTCATCATTGTAAAAAAATCAACTCCACTTTTAAAAGAATGCGAATGGACTTTCATATCACCCAGGGTAACAAAAGCTTGTTTCATCTTGTAGTTACTTCCATGTTTACCTGTTTTATTGATAATGTTCATGAGCCAACTTTTTTCGTCTATTCCTTCCTTTTCCATTTGGTGTAAAAAACATATGTTGGGGATCGTAATACTGGCCAGACCCACTTTCCATCCAGATCCTTCCAATGTGAGTCGATTGGGTAAACGCACCTTGAAACTTCCGGGGGTATTCCCTTCAAAGGATGGACGAGGAAAACTGGGTAGAGTAATGAAGAAACTCATGTTGCTCGTTTAAAATGAAGGGTGATAGTGGTTTGTCCGCCGCGTAATTGAAGTTTTTCCCCCAAAATATTATATAGTTCAATCTCAATGCTTTCGATCACGGGTTGACGGACGGGAATGTAACGAATGGTGTTGGGTTCAATTCGATACGTACCACTTTGTTGTCTTTTATGAATAACTTCCGCCAGTACGTTTACTAGCGTGTCGTTGAAGATACTGCTTTGGATTAAATTGGATCGAATCTGAACGTATTGAGAACCATGTTGCGACGGATCCGTGTGAATGGTAAAGGTCCAACTGGCAGCGATGCTTAAATACATTTTATTGTTATGCGCAATTCCCCAATAAGAATCTCTTGGACGTGATCCCCAACCTTTGTCAATCCATTCACTGTGAAGGTCCCAAGCATATCGATCGTTTCCATCTGCGTTTTTTAAATACATAGGAGTAAGATTGGGTCCAAGCATGTAGGTATGTTGATCTCCATCTATTTTGTCCGTGAGCCATCCCATTTTGATGGCCAATATTTTGTTTATGTACAGATGAGGTGAAAACGATCCTAGATTGGTGTGGGTATTGTCCAAGAATAAGTTACCATTGCTCAACCAATCAAATTTGAAGGAAGTACGAGTCAAGCTTGGATACTGTGAATTAGACCTGGAAAATATGGAGTTACTGTCTTTTTTCTGCGACAATAGGGAGTGGGTGTAACCAGTGATGATAGCATGGAGCAATTCAGTGCTCGTCTTTGCTCGCCCTATTAGAGATTTGGTAAAATCAAATGTTCGTGTAAATTCTTGACCCACTGCCTGCCCCGATGGAGTATTGAATTCATTCCAGACGAAGTGGATGAGAGGTGTATTACTTGGAATACCATCCAAACTTTGTTCCAAATGACTTGCATCGGGTAGAAATAAAGATGCCATACCAACCATCCATGGACCATCCTTGAGTTCAATGGTATTGGCAATTCTTTTTTGAAAATGAGTAATGGTATTGCGTGGAAATTCATTGTCGGGTTTGCTAGTGAGAGTAACGTAAAAGGAATCCATCTGTCTTAGGGTTCTATCTGGACCAATCTACCTCCTCGTTGTAAGAATGCTTTGGTGATCTTTTTTTTAGCACCAGGTACCCTACTGGCGACGCTTCTGAAACTGGAGACGTTGGGAAAGACAATGACGGGTGTTTTGGCATCTGGAACGGCCTTGATGAGGGACTTTATACTCCTAGATACTGCGCTTTTTCTTCTTCGTCTGCTTTTGTTGATGGTGGGTTTTCGAATATCTTGCAACCTCACTTGAGGTTGCATGAGTTTAATACCTTTTTTCTTTCGCTGTACCATGATTTAGTTACTCTGGGCTTGTAACAATAAAGTGGATTGTTTGTCGCGTAAGACCTTTATATCTTTTTTACTCATCCAAGTATCGTATTTCGAGGGCCAACCCTTCCATCGCACCAACACTTGATTCTTTTGTCGTTTGACCACTTTATCGATGCGAAACACGTGATCATCGGGAATGGTGACTTTTTGAAGATCTTCATTGTAAAAAGTACCGCGAATGACGGTTCCGTCCCATTCTTTGATGCGATAAGTGGGTACAGGGGTCTTGTTGACTAGATCGACTAAAAAAACTTCTTCAGTCCATCCTGGCAAGTATCCTTTTTTAAACACTCGATGTTTTTTATTCAATCGAACTCTATCTCCACGTTGAAATTGGGGTCGAATCGATCGAATGGTTTTACCGTACAAACGATTCCATACTGTTTTTTCATTGGCAAATGTCACATCTTTAGGGGCCATCCCAATACTTCGATGTTTACTTCGATTGTAACCACGGACAATGGCTTGTAAGACATTTTCGTAGCGTAAGGTGTTGGCGGAGGTGAGATAACGATAAATCCGTTCTTTGATGGTCCGATTGACTCGTTCAGCCATGGCTGCTTTATCATCTCCATACGTGGAAAAGAGATGAATTTTTTTCCCCTTGAGAAATGTCTGGAAGGTTTTGTTGTAGAATTCTTTCCCTTGATCCGTTTGTAGTTGAATGGGTTTTCGTCCTTTGGCCAAGATGGTTTGAAAAGCTCGAACCAATTCGGTGCCTGTCTTATTTTTCAAAGGAACCACCCAGAGAAATTTTGATAAGGCATCCACCACTGTCAAGAGGTACCTGTACCCCTTATTGTTTCGACTCAACGATTGTACTTCAATGAGATCTGCTACCCATTGATGATCTATACCATAGACCATCACTCGAGCTTTGGGAAATCGTTTTCGTCTTGGGCGATGGAGGGTATAACTCAAATCTTTGGATAAGATTTGTTTGGCTTCTTGAACAGAAATCCCTTGCGCTTTGGCAAATCGTGCCACACCCCCCAGACTTCCATCGACATGGGGATTATTGTACAAACTCACCAAATCTTTTTTACTCATTCTATCCAATGACTCAACAACTCTAACCACGAAGGAACTTGAGATCGAAATTGATCTTCAATGCAAAAATACCACTCAGCTGCCAACGGGAACTGTTTTAACCATACGACATACGTGACAAATCTCCCCCAATCCCCATGAACATGCGTCTCTTTAAAGGTTTCCACGGGATTACCCCATTCTTGCAAAACAGGTTTCTCGGTATATTTTAAGAATATGCGAGCACAAAGAAAACGAATCAAACGCCAACGCAAATAAGACCACATTTTTTTTTTAAAAATAACTTTTAATGACAACTCACTATATACACTTTTTTTTGGGAGGGGTCTCATGCAAAACTAGCTCTAAGTTCATTCCACAAAAAAATGGGTCTAAAAATATGATGCTTACGCGTATAGTCATTGTCTTCATCATAATAACGAGTCAATAGTTTGTTTCCAATGCGTCCATGGGATATGTGATAACCGGTCAATAAATATTGAGAAACAAAACTGTGACTATTTGTTGAATATACATTTTCTACCAGATATCCAAACACAACTATTTTGTAACGAGGAAGATCTGTTCTAGGAAACATACCGTGGTGAGTATATGCGACACGATAGGCTCTTCGTCTCGCTGTCAGATAACAATGATGACAAAAAATGTCATTTGTCCCAGCAAAGTTACAATCGAATGGAAGATTAGCAGTAGGAGGATTGTTGAAAAACAAATTATGTTTACAATCCCAACATTGTTTTTTCGGAAACAATTGTTCATGCAAGGCTTTCCATCCCATCTCATTTCGTGCGTGAACCATCGGACGCCAATAAATACGTTCTCGAATAAACCAGGGTAAAGACCCCCAAGGCAATGTCTCATCAAAAATTGACTGTTCCTCCATACTGTTGCTCAGTGATACCCCAATTGTTGGATGAAGGGACTGCTCTTGTATAGTAAAGAAAGGGAC